CAAGTGTCTGGTTCCACATTTCCCACATCAGCAGTATAGTGGTAGCAACAGAAAATTTGATATAAATTATTAGAATAATGATAAATGTTTTCCAGAACACTTGTTAAAGAGATTGTGGTCATATAATAAATTGTCCAAATCAACAAACAGAACGTCAGGAAAACAGGAATAAGCTGAGAGCACAAGCATAAACTGGGACATGTCACTCTAGCTGAGTACACAGGAAATTTAAGGAGAGATTTGTAAAAATCATGTGACATAGTACAGATCTTAATAGAAGATGCTACGAATGTTCTCTCCTAATCATGACTTAGAAAACTCGAACATTGATCTCTTTTGGTGAAAAAGAAGCTGAAAGAGCGAAAATAATATTTTTCCCATTCCTGCTAATTTAAAAAAATAGTTGGTGTGGGGGTTGGGGGAGAGAATGAAAAAGAAATGTCTTTCCTTTGGGCTAAAGCCAAGAATAACCTCAAAGGAGATATTCTTCAGAGATGAAAAATCAGAGGAACTTCTCTAGGCATGTGACCGAAGCCCTGTGTGACATGAAATGATGGGTAGGAGGTTTTCAGCACGAGAGGCCTACTGAATTTTGGGAGGCAAGACTCTTTTTTAAGGCTCTTTGTTTCTCAGTTTTGTGTGTGGCTCTTCCTACTTTGAAGTTCCAGCCAGCAATGAAGAGAAAAACTTGCGCTGGTGTATATAGTCTGACCGAGAGCTGTGGTTTAGGGAATGCTTCCCCATCTATGGACTGCAAGCTGATGGTGCAGGCTCAGTCAAGCCTGTAATAATCATCTAAATGCATCTCTGAAGTGAACACAGACTCGGGGTCTTATAAGGTAACTCATGAAGCCATCATTCCTGGACAGCCACACAATTCATGAACCCCGCCAGAAAGAACAGCCTGTCGTCACTTATCCGAAGAGGTTAAAAACATCCAGTATGCTGCCTATTAAAACAGAAAAGCAGCACTGAGCTCTCCCATTTCAACTCGACTTCCTGGCACTGGCTTCGTGATCTATAGGGACATTCTCGTTAGGACTTGTTGCTTCCACATCCAATGTTATTAGTGGCAAATCGTTAGGCCAACAGTGATGCCCTGTTCTTTTGTTCTTGAAGGAAACATCTGTTCTTTTGTCAGGGAGCACATGCCAAAAACGCTGCAATTATAAGCAGAGGGCTCTTTGGGGAGTAGTCAATGCATCATACAGCCTGGAGCACAGACCTTGAAAACTTCCCGCACTCCTGTCCCTGCCTCTTGGATGCTAGAAAATTGCTAGCTGGTCACACGAGTTCCCCACCCATAGGCCACCAAGCATCCATGCTGGAGGAGAGAGGAAGTGAGAGTGGAGGTTAATTATTGATGAGGCTGCAATAAAAACATATTTACATACTCATTTGACAAGAGCATCTAAGCCACCTGTATGGATCTGAATCCTCTAAGCATATACTTGTGGGGTCCCAGTATGCCCTATCATACACACTGCTCATGGCTAAAGGAAGAAAGGAACTTGAGACAAGAACACACTGGGAAGTGTGCAGAAAATGACTGAAGGAACCACTTAGGAGTGCTTGAGTTGAGACCTTCCAGTTCTCTCAAGGTCAATGCCTGTATGGCATCTTTGGCTTTCAAGGGCTCATAGGCCAACTTAGGAAGCTTGCTGCCTGGGTCTGAATTCATTTCCACCCATTCTAGTTCTCTAAGCCTAGAGGAGTAACAAACTCTCTGAGCCTCAGTTTCTTTACCTGTAAAAAGGAAACAATAATGGTACCTGTGGCATAAATGAGCTAACGTGAAATATACCCATATTACAAAGTAATAAAGGTGTAAAACTAATCATCTAAGTTCTATCTTAAGATAGAACTTAAGCTTCTATCTTAAGAAGCTAGAAAAGAAGAGTAATTTAAACCCATAAAAAGCAGAAGCAAAAAAAATAATAAAGATTAGAGTAAAAACAAATTAAGTAGAAAACAAAAATAAATAGAGAAAAAGGGGGTTCTTTGAAAGTATGTGCATATCTGGGAGATGTCACAGGTTCGGTTCCAGATCACCATGATAACATGAACATCACAATATAGTGAGTCACATGAATTGTTTTGATTTACCAGTACATATAAAAGTTACGTTTACATTATATTGTAGTCTATCGAGTGTGCAATAGCCCCCTTAGGTCAAAAAAACCAACATACGTATCTTAATTTAAAAATACTTTATTGCTAAAAAATGCTAATAATCATCTGAGCCTTCAGCAAGTCATAATCATTTTGCTGATCGAGGGTCTTGAAAAAACGCAATTATCTGTGAAGTGCAATAAAGTGAAGCACAGTAAAATGACATATACCTGTGCTAATAAAAATTGACAAACGTCTAGTTAAAGAGAGAACAAATTATCAAAATCAGGAATTAAAGAGATATTACTAAAATATCTTCTGTTTTAGACATTAGAAGGTCAAAAAGCAAGTATCATGAACACTACTTTGCCAATAAATTTGATAACTTAAATGAAATTCAGTATTTCCTTAAAAGCCACAATGTAAGAAAATTGACTGTAGAAGAAATATAAAATTCTAATAGCTCTATATCTATTAAAGAAATTGAATTCACAAAACATTTTCACAAAGAAAACTTCAGGCCCAGCTGGTTTTAGTGCTAAATTCTATGAAACGTTTAAGAAATGAATAATACCAATCTTTAAATAAAAACACTTTCAGAAAATAGAGAAGGAACATTTTTCCAAGTCTATTTATGAGTCCAGCAATACTCTTGTACCACACCTAACAGAGACATTCCAAGAAAAGAAAACTATAGATAAAAATCTCTTGTGAACATACATGGAAAAATCATCAACAAAACATTGGCAAATAGAATCCAACAATGTATAAAAACAATATGACACCTGACCAGGTACAGTTTATCTAAGGAATGCAAGGTTGGCCCAATATCCGAGAATTTAGCAATATAATTTACCACATTAACAGAATAAAGAAGAAAAATCACAAGTATTTTCAATAGATGCAGAAGTTGCATTTTATAAAATTCAACAACCATTCATAAAACTTCTTAGCAAACCAGAAATAGAAGAGAACTTCCTCATCCAGATATAAAGCATCTATGGAAAACCTACAGTAACAGCATACTTACTGATGAAAAGGCAAATGCTGTCTCCTGAAGATTAGAGAAAAAACAAGGATGTCTGCTCTCATGACTCACCACTCGCCACTATTATGCAATATTGTACTGAAGCTCTTACACAGTGCAATAAGGCAAGAAATAAAAAGCGTAACATTTGAAAACCAGCCATTTGTGGTCTAGCAGTTAAAGTTTGGCATGCTCTACTATGGCATCCCAGATTTGGTTCCCAGGCATGAAACTATACCACTTGTCTGTTAGTAGCCATGCTGTGGTGGTGGCTCACATAGAAGAACGAGAAGGACCTACAACTAGAATATACAGCTATGTACTGGTGCTTTGGGGAAGAAAAAAAAAAAGAGAGGAAGATTGGCAACAGATGTTAGCTCAGGACCAATCTTTTAAAAAAAAAAGGCATAAAATTTGAGAGCAAGAATTTTATTTGCAGAAGATACATTGTCTGTATAGAAAATTCTAAGGAATCCACAAAAAAAACTATAAAAATTGATATATGAATTTAATAACGTCATGGGTCAGGTCAATATTCAAAAATCAAATGTATTACTACATACCAGCAATAAACAATTAGAACTTAAAATGTAAAAATAATAAAACTCACACCAGCATCAAAAACAAAACACAAAGTGTGCTCAGGAATAAATTTAAGAAACGAGGTGAAAGACCTATGCACTGAAAACTACAAAACATTGCTGAGAAAAATAAAGGATGTAAATAAATGGAGCAATATATCATGTTCATGAATTAGAAGACTCAATATTACTAAGATAAGCATTCTCCCCAAATTGATCTCAGCTTCAAGGCAATCTTGATTAAAATCCCATCAGACTCTTTTATAAAAATTAGTCAGCTATTCTAAAATGTATGTGGATATACAAAGGTATATATTATAGCCAAAAACATTTTGGAAAATAAGAACAAAATTGGAGGGCTCTCCCTATTTGAATTCATACTTATATAAAACTACAGAAATCAAGACAGTGTGCTTTAGGTGTAAGGAGAGACACAAAATTAAATAGAATAGGTTCTAGAAATAGATCCAAACCTTTATTGTCAATTTTTGACAAAGGCATTAATGCATTTCAATGAAGAAAGTGTAGAATTTTCAACAAATGGTGCTGAAATGAACATTGGTATGGAAAAAATAAACCACAAGCCCCATCTCACACCTTACACAAACATTTATTTGAAATGTGTGTAAAAACTCAACATAAAAGCTAAAATCGTAAAACTTCTAGAAAAACATACAAGAGAAAAATCTTCATAGGGCTGGGATAGGCAAAGATTTCTTAGGGAAAAAAACATCAAACATTAAATGAAAAACCAAGAAATTATACTTTACCAAAATTTAAATTTCTGCTTTTCAAAAGATATCAATAAGAAAATGAACAGGTAATCCACAGACTGGGAGAATGTTTAGATAGATGGATAGATGGATGGATGGATGGATAGATGGATGGATGGATGACAGATAAGATACTCCTTTGTGAAGATGCATCTCATTTGTGTCTTCTATAATTCTTGTCCTTCGTGTCTATGTTATAGGGGAAATGATACAGATATAGATAAACCAGTACACTGAGCACCAACTAGGTATCAACTCCATTGAGAGAAACAGAAACAAAGGTCAAGACTCTCATCCTGCAGGGGCAGAGAACAACAAGCTCTAAAAAATAATTAAGTTAGGGGCCAGCCCAGTGGCATAGGAGTTAAGTTCATGTGCTCCACTTTGACAGCCCAGGGTTCACCAGTTCAGATCCCTGGTGCTGACCTACGCACTGCTTATCAAGCCATGTTATGGCAGGAGTCCCACATACAAAATAGAGGAAGATGGGCACAGATGTTAGCTCAGGGCCATTCTTCCTCAGCAAAAAGAGGAGGATTGGCAGTGGATGTTAGCTCAAGGCCAATCTTCCTCAAAAAAAAAAAAAAATAGCAAGATATTCTCTGATAGATAGACAATAGCATAGTGTCAGAGCATTCTGCTTAGCTCAATTATTCAGCTCTGTTAAAATAAAATTCTGTTTGGTGTTTGCCTGATTTGGTTCACCCTTGGGAACAGAATCTAGACATTATATATAACAATAATGGGCAGTGTTCTTGTGACTAGGCATTTTAAATTTTTATTACATTTTCTGAGTGACCAGCATTGATCTGAGCACCTGAAAAATATTAGCTCATTTAATACAATGACCCTATGAGGTGAGTGTATCTCAAGAACAACAGCATCAACATCATCTAAGAATGGGTTAAAAACACAGATTCCAAGGCCCCACCCAAGCTGGACAGGATCAGAAACTCTTGGGGTGGGTCCCAACATTCAGATTTATCAAGGGCCATCTAAGAGATTTTGTTAAGATTAAAATTTGAGAACCACTGGTCCAAAGTATTGTCTTCTTGTTGAAGGGCTGTGGTCACTCTCAGCATCCATTATCTGCTTTATCAAGCATCAATCTTGAAGCACAGAACCTTTAACTTTCCATCTGCAGTGAAGTCTTCCTTTTTTTAAATTCTGCCAAAGCTGGTTCTGGCTGGTGATGCTACAGCTGGTGAAGCTGTGCTTACTGTGGCTATATTGATGTTCTCTTTGGTAGCTGCATTCTTATTGGCATATCAGATTATTTTTTTTCCTATGGCTGTTGAAGAAGAGTTTCAAAGTCCATCTGGCAGGAAACGCTCCACCTGTTTAAAGGAACAACTGAAAGTAAGTCCATCATTATACAGAAACAAGAATACCACGTTACTTTCCATGTAGCCCCCTTAAACATCTTCCTGGTAAGCACATCTCAAGTTATCCAGTCACTTGGAGCCACAACAGCTCTTCAGAAGAGGGAAGTTCACATGGGCTGGGGTTGGGAAGAGTCAGCTGGAGAAGGAGGAGCCGACAACACAAGCAATGAAGGCAGGGGTTTGTTTTTAATAGCAAAATATTTCAGTTCTCCCCTTTCTGAGCATCAAGTGGGAAAAGATCTGTGCATTGGGACAGAAACAAAAACTCTACATCAGTAAAACAAGAACACACATCACCACCCACACGTGTGATCCTTGGCAGTAAATGATGGCTGCAGGATTCATAGGAAGCACAGAAATGAGGAGGGGGAATTCAAGCACCAGCCCAGAGAGTGCAGGGCTCCTTGTAAATAGCTATTTTTAATTGAGAAATGAATAGCTTTGAGAGGAAATAATCAAGCTGTAGAAAGGAGTTAAAAGAGGGAAAGAGAGTCTGATTAAAGTTACTCTCTCAAGTAGCTAGAAGGGATGTTCGATATCTTCAAGTACAACCTCTTGACTGTGGCAGGAGGAGATCAGGTCCTTCTGGTTGGAACAAAGTAATATGCAAACCAAGGTCAACTGCTCATTGGGGTGGAGCTGGGGACACTGACCCTGGTCTTTTGGCTTCAATTTGTTTTGGGTAGTTAAAGTCCCTATTTTTCTGAAAAGTACGAGTGATTGAACTTCAGACGAGGGGAGACCATTATGGACTAAAGGTTCTGAGGACCATTCAATGAGAAAAGCGAGGTTTGATTTAGGCTCTAAATGGAATAAATAGCAGAGCTTGTATGAGAACCTGGTACCACAGGAGGCCCTGAAAAGACCTCACAGAGTATGAAACTATTTCCACAGCCCAGGGAAACCAGGCCATAACAGGTTCGCTCCTAAAAAGAAATGGGCTACATTTTCACTTGGTGAGACAGCTCCTTGGTCACAAATTCTCCTTTATGATCAGCCTAACTCGAAGGCACAAGTCACAAACACAACTCCCACGCTTCTGTCCATGAGTCATGCCTGCCCCTAAGTGAAAACAGGCCTTAACAGTGTCTACTAAGAGAATTTCTTAAAAGCAAGCACGCAAGAAAGAAAAGTGTCATTGTGATGCTAATGGAGGATGCAGCAATTTGGGGTTATTTCATATAGTTCTTTAAAAATTTATAAATAGGTTTTCTGCCCCTATTTGCATTCTAAAAAGATGGTCTTTTTAAAAACAGTATCTGATGTTGCTCCCCCCCAACTCAAAATTAAAACAAAATGAAAAGAACAATTAACGTTCAAAATGTTTCAATTATGCACAAATAAAGGAAAATCAGAATAAAAAGCAATGCTTCTTTGTTTCAGCCTGCCCTTAAATGTTCCTGTGAAAATCCACCTCATTATATTCACGGGTCCTAATTTAAAGAATAACAGACACGGTGGGAGTCCAATGACTGTTAATGCCGCTATTGTTAACATCATGAATGGTGTGGGGCTTTTTCCTACCCAGGCACCACATTTTGGAACAAAAGGAAAGGAACAAGGTGGTTCTACTATTATCCAAATTGGCCTCTGGCATCCACTCAGGGAAGTGACTGAGGCCAGCTGCTCTTTCTCAGGTGTCCCTGGGGAATACACACGTGCGATTAACCTAACTGGCCACTGGGTGTGACCACGCTCCACACAAAAGGAGGCGGAGGCCACTCCAGGGACTTCTTCCTGGCAGAACTTAGACACACGCCTGCACGCACACACACGTTACCTACACACGCCATGAAGTCTTCCCCCTCAGAAGGGAAAGTTTAAATGTCAGTTCAGCTTGTTTTTAACTTCCAAATAGACACTTCAGATCAATTTTATTCTTTTACTCCAAAAACAGGATAACATCTTTCTATTAGGTCTCAGTTAAAAACTGAGAAGCACACCAGTTCGGTATTCCCAATAATACCAATCAAAAGAAATCACTCTCTACATGACTTGTTAAAAATGGAAAAAATAAAAAGGGAAAGAGAGTCCTCAGAAACTCACACTCTCTGGGTCTGAACATCCCTGCAGCAAAATCCATCCGCCCAAAAATCACGTGCCTTTGATCGCCACAGCTAATCGTATCTGTGGCTGGATTGCAGAGATAGCTCTTTCCAGGACTCCTTTGAATGGGGGAGCCAAACATCTTTGCTGCCATGAATTAAACCCACAACCATTGCAATTTTAAAGAAAACTGATTCAGCCGTGATAAGAACTTGGGTCCAAGTAACATGTAAGATAGCCATGCTCAATGGCATCTCATATACTAGGCAGATTAAGCTTTTCCATTTCTTTTCAAACACAGAACACTCTTGAAATGGTGGAACAACACAAGGAGGGATAAAATCCAGTATTGCAAAGAAATATAAAAAAAGTTAACAATTCACATTGTTTTTAACTCAATGTTCTAGCTGCCTCTGTTCTCAGTCTCCAAAAGAGACACACACGCATGGGGATGCGCGCACACACACATGCACACAGGTTGGAGCCCATTTTCTTTAATACTGACCTATGGTTTAAAGTGTGTCACTCTCTTTGATTCTAACACAGGCGTGTTCATTTGATTTACAGCGTTTTTCCCCAAAACGTTCATGGTGCTTTCACAAGGCTATATTAAAGAGTAGAAACGGGCACATAATGTCTCCATGAAGAAGCAGGGTCCAACATTGCCCTTAAGAGCACATCCTATTTTTATAGCATTTTATTTCAAAGAAATCCTTAATATGTGTATGCAGTGCTCAAAAAATATTTGTTGATTGCTAACGCCGTGTATGAAAATCAGTTGGAAGATGTTTTTCCAAGCCTGCCAATTTACAGTGATCAGCTAAGTGCCTGGCGTTCCTCCATGTTCCTTAGCTGAGGGTATTTTTCTTTAAAGAAATGTTTTTGTGGAGTCTAAAAACTGAAGGAGAAGCCACAGACCAGAGCTCAGACTGAAGATCTTCAATGGGTCCTGGAGTCATCGTACTTTTATACCAAGTGTGACAACTGCCATTTTCTTTTTAAATAAAGTATGGCGTCCTATATAATTTCTTAGTGCTTAAGAAGAAACATGGGCACAATTAATGAAAACAAAATAAATCTCATGATCCTTAAGATTTTCATCCATGTCAGTCCTCACCTTAATTTTTTTTCAGAAAAAATAATGTGAAGTCACTCTTGTGGCCAAGAGTAGATCGACAGGTATTTTAACATCCCAAGATAGTGAAAGCAGCAGCTGCTTTTTCTTAAGAAGAAAATTTTAAATGTATGTTGTCCTTGCTGGGATGAAGGTCAGAGACCAGAGTCCCCTAACCTGTTTTCTGGTATTTCTCTGAACTCTGCCATCAATCTCAACAGTAATGAGCTAACAAGTAATAGGGCAGTTGCTTTAAAGTTATTTTGTATGTCAATTTGCAATGGGGGTTTATAAGTGCCAAAGGAAAAAACTGACTCAGAGACTGTTGGTTGTTAATTTTCATCAATTAATTATCAATGGGAAGCATTGGAACTAGTATACTGCAGTTAGGAAGGTCTCTCATCGCTGAGATCGTTTAAATGAAAAGAAGACTAAATTCTTACTATGTAGAGAGCAGATCCTTCTTTCTCTGACTCTTGCTTGCTTTCCATCCTCTTCTCCCAACAACCCTGCTATGAACCCCATTCCAGCCTGCCCCAAACAGACTCACTTTCAAACATCCATATTCTTTGCACCTGCTATTTCCTACGCCTGAAGAGCTTCACCCTGGACCTCACCCTGCCTGCCCAACCTAACAAACTCTTCCTCACCCTTTAGCCAAAGTTCAAATGTTACCTCTTATAGGAAACCTTCTCCAAATCCTCTCCCCCGGATGGGCCCATGCGATTGATTGCATCTGCCTCCTACAGAGCATTTAACCCACTGTTTACATAGGGACATGTGTATTCACACCTCTCTCCCACAGCAGACTGGAAGCAACACACTTACTGTCATATTTATGCCCCCACAGAGCCTTAAATAGTGTGCAGGACTTCGTAGGAAATCAATGAACATTGAATAAAGGCAGGAATGAAGAAAGCATGGGTACAGTGAATAAGTAAAGGAATTAATAAATGGGCAGATGAATAAGGGGTAGACCACTCTAACAGACAGGCTTCACCTTTAAATGAGAGTAAAGTGGAGGCCAGAACACAGGCCATCTGCCCCGGAGTAGCCATTCCCCTGCACATCTCAATGAGGAAGCAGATTCCAACAGGCCCTAGAGAAGCACATCCTCTTATGCAGGACCTGCCCATCTCCCAGAAATGGGCCTCTCTGGGCTAGGCCTTTCCCAGCTTGGACCATGAAATCTGGTACAACGTCTGAACAATAATATAAGTGCCACCTGATCTTATTTTAGCTTAGCAGTTTCCAAACTCCTCTTTCCCTGTCATTTTGTTTGAAAACTTTACTCTGATCTCCTTTCCCTTTGCTTTTCTCTATGACTTTTCATTCTAGAGCATTCTACATGACTTCTCAGCCAAAATCTCCCCCAGAGGGCCTCCTAGTCAAAGTAAAGTGGTGTATAGAGATTCTCATTTTTTTAATAAGCTAAGCTGTGAATCATCTTCCATTAAAAAAAATTCACCTGATTCAAATTTCCATCACCTCACATTTAGAAAGATCCACTCCTCCTTGGTCTTCCTATCACACAAACAAACATAAATCTGATCACTGCTTCCGTATCCATGGTGATGACCATGGCTCCAACCATCACCTCTGAGAGAGTGGGCCCTGGATCAATAGCGTTGGCCCTGACCTCTTCCTCAAATCCTCATTCCACGTGTCTCACAGCCTACTAGACATATCTACTGGGATGACTTGGCAGAATTTTAAATAGGATTCTCCCGCAAACCAAAAGCATCTTCCCCTAGACAGCCTCCCCACCTTTTCGTTGTTATTTGCACATCAT